ATGGCTCTGAAGCACAGATAGTGGGGGGGGGGGGGACAATTCTGCAATAAAACCTGTATGACGAATTCAGTTTTAAAGGATAAGAGCCTTCCAGCTTATTCCGTTGTCAGTCTTTTTTAATAGCGTTTGTGCAGCTTTGCCCAGGGGGACTGGAGATTTTCCGTGCAGGTGCTCTGGGGAAGAGCTGTTCTCTCCTCAGCGCACTCCCCGGTGCGCTGTTTCTCCACACATCTCATCGGCCCCAGAGGCAGCACTGGCAGGAGTCGCAGGAATCCAAACGGCCATGTCTGTTTTATTTGAACAAGCAGGGCAGCCCTGTTCAGGGTGCGAGTCTCTAAAACCAGCTGTTCACTACAGAACGGTTTATACCAGATCTGTTCTCATCTGTTTGACAGTGAGTTAAGGAATTCATTTGAGTTTACAGTGCCAGCTAACCCTAACTTACTGTACATGGGACATACAATGTTCAGGCCTTACAGGTTTGTTTTTTTTATACATTTTAGCAATTTCTTTGCCCAGCTGCTGTTGTGAATAAATAACAGTCAGAGTTTCTACCTGTGTTATATGAATAATGGAAATACTACATGATTATAAACGCGACAACAGATACTTCAAATAAGCATCTTAGATTTAGTTCACTTCATACTAGCCTGGCGCTAGAAATCAAAACAGTGTGAAGCTCAATAAATTGTGGGGGGTGTTTTGATTACTGGAAAGTTAATCTTCTGCAGTTAGAGGAATTTTTGTGTCTTGTCACACCCTTACAGCACCTAACTATGAGCCGAGGTTAGCGTGAAAGATGCTCTTGTCAAGTAGGGCTAAAGGCTTTTTAATTAAAAATAAAACTGCCCTGCTTGGCTTTTATTTTTCCCAAAAGATTGAGGCTTTTGTACAGCTCATGGAAACACACAATGAAAAGAATTTTCAAATAATACGAAATCCATGTTGCTTCCAGCGCCACATCCACACAAATGCAAAGAAAAATACCAGACTGTTTGGTGCAGACAGCAGGCTTCTGCACTCTGCCTCCAGTATCAAATCCGTCTCTTTCTGCAGTGGAGCTGCAGGGCCACAGACACGAAGGCCTGTGGCCAGAATCCCTGAGGGTTCAAGCACAGCTGTGTACGTACCTTTAAAAAAAAAAAGATCTCCCCTGAGGCCTTACCATCTGAAAAAAGAAACTGTCCCGCTCTCGGTGTCTTAGGACAACTGAACAGAATTTAGTCTTTTCTGCCTTCTCTTGATTTGTCTGTGCAGTTGCCTTAATTTTTACACATTGCTCAAATAGAGCCTCTTTAGCCCTTGTTGAAATGTCCCCCTGGTGTGGAAGGACAAGCTCAAAACCTTCAGGTTCATCTTGAACCACAGTTGTACCGTAGGTCGCTGAAAAATGTGGCTTGACAGTAAAAGGACAGCTCTTGCCTTATTATGTAGAAAATTAGATTGAAACCCAGAGCAGTATAATCACTCCCAGCTCCAGATTAGTTTTTCTGGTTTTCTGGGCGGAAGTGCAGTCACACAGTTTATTCCTTGGTGTTTACTGAATACATCGAAAAAGTTTCCAGATTGTGCTTTCAATAGCTGAACGAAGTCTGATGGAGCCTTTTTTTTCCCCATGAAGCCCGTTTTAAATTACTCCAAGCACAGCAGGCCTAAGGCTTTATTAGCTTTATTGGTCACTTGATAGACGATGGTTCATGTTACTTTTAGCAAAATTTCATAATGGCCTTTTAGCCTAGAATCATCTTAAAATGAAATTCTTGGTAAAAATAAATCATCAGGAATATCCACATACACTGTAAATGCATTGTTTTTTACTTTCAGTAATTTTTATTATTTCATGTGAGGAAAGTGTTTCATGGGGTTTTGTGAGGGACTTGAAATTTGTATTCCCCTTCTCTCACAAGAGACAGAGATGTCTTCAGTGTGAGCTCGAGGTATCTGCTGAGCCCAGTGCAGTTTCTAGGCAGCAGTGCCCCTAGTGGTCATGGCTGGACTCTTGCATTTGGAAACCTTGGGCGTCTTTTTCAGATCTAAGAAACAGTCTGAAAAATCCATTCTAAATAGTGAAGAGATGACCCATGCAACATAAGAAAACTACTAGCTCTAAAATAAAGGATGAAGCAAGGGATAAAAAAAAATAGGAATGAAGGAAGGGTGTCTTTTATTTTAAGACCTTTTTAAATTATATGTGAAATATTCAAAGAAACACCGGTAAATGATGGAATATACTTAAGTAAAGCTGTAAATATGTAAAAAAGTGTAGATATTTTTAATAGGAGATTTTTGACAAGTCTGGGACAAAGGTCTGTGTTTCTCCTTGGAGTACAAGGTGTGGAGAATTTTCTCTTTGGACAATTCTTGATTTTTTTTTCTTTTGATGGCTTAATCAGTGCAATACTGATGAAATATTTTGTATATTATATTGTACATAATACATACGCAAGGTGGTAGTTAAAATAGGTAAAATAGATGTTGTTGTTCATCAATTTGACTGATAGTTTTATTTGTGACTTAATTATTTTAATTACTTTTACAAGTTTTTTATTATGAACTCACAGTTAAGTGTAAAAATTCAGACTCACCTCTTTAGAGTCTTGTGAGAGAGGAACTTGCAGAATATTGGTTAAAATTGAGAAATAATACAGTTTGTGCATAGAAAAACTGTTTTTATGTAATTTTCACATTCACAGCTACTCTAGCAAAGAGAAATGGTTTGATGCACTGAAGAATTTTGTATTCATGTTCACAAGATTAATAGGACAACTGCATTATAATATACCATACTGTACATTTTAATTTTGGATAGTTCCATGCATACATTAGATAATATTGGGAAAAAAACATATTGTGTGTCCAACCCAGTGAATTTCAAGTGATTCTAAGTATTAGGAAATATTCAAGTAAGTTTCAGATTGTAAATGTTTACATCATTGACCCAGAAGGGTAGACTTTTGCTCATTTTATTAAAAACAAAATACGTAGATGTAGTTTCCAGTTTTGCTTTTGTGCCATAAAAGGTGTTTATTATAGCAAAAATGCTTGTTTTGATTGTCACAATACAAGTGTTTTCAGTTATATATGTATAAATGTCTATGATCAACAGAGACCGATGGAGTCCTCTGTGTCCTTTCCATTATAGTTTAACAATACCATACTTGCATGTAGCTTTAAATCATGTCACTTAGATAACAGTGGCTCCACAGAAAGAGCCCACATCTCTCTCTACTGCTTTAAAAAAATTAAGTGAACTCACAAAACACCCTTTAAAGCACAGCCAATGCAACCTTAAGTCCTTCAGAACTGTTCTTAAACATTTAATTCTACTAACAGGAAAACTCAAAACTTCCATCTAATCTCTTAAAGGCTTCACAGATTTATTCCAAGAACTAGTGCCTATGACCTGTCATATCTTACTTATTACTCAAGAGAGGCAGCAGAGTACAGTGTTATGCTTAGTTATGCATTTAATACAGAGGTAGACCACAGCGGTGCTGAAAATGGCTTGTAATGAAGCTGTTCTGCAGGTGAGGTTCTTCATAGGATGTTGCTACTGCAACCAAGATGACTGTTCAGTTTGATTTATAGAAAGGTAATGAAATGTGCTCTCCTGTTTGTATGTAATCCATGCATTTTGATAGCAACAATAAAATAGTCAAAGCATCGAATAACCCATTTGGACCAATACTGTGCTAATAGAAATGCCTCTTTTCTTTTTGTTTTTTGAATTGCTGTACATTGTGCCCTGTGGTATTTGCTATACACTGGAGTGTGGAAAAGTCAGCAGTTTCTTTATTACTTGGAATGATTTTTAATCATATCTTTCAGATATTTAAAACAATGAAATGTGATCATTCCATGAGATAGCTTTCCATCTGAAGACTCAGCATTGGTAACATCCAGTACTGTGGCATTTATCAAATTAAATGTTGTTTTTGTGAAGGGTGTTTTTTCTTTTATTGTTTTTGTAACGTTTCTCACTTCATATCCATCTGACTATTTTGCTTTCATTTTTGAGTATTCCCAGCTTTGCAGATCTGTTAATGTCTTGATGTCTTCATTCGTCACAGCATTTTGCCAAATTGGCTGTTAGTATGTTAGCTATTAGTGGCAATTGTCCTGCTACACATAAGAACTGTAAGAACAATTACAAACAAGAGGAGGTCATTAGCATCATGTATCTGGTAGGAAATTAGTAGCAAGTTGACCATTGATCTCATTCAGACATTGCTTGAAAAAAGCCAGGGATCAATCAGCTTCCACTTGAATCAAGAATCAGTCAGCTTCAGCAACAGGTCTAGGTAGTTTATTCCATACTCCTTGGGGTAAAGAAGTGTCTCCTGTTGTCAGTTTTACATACACTTCCACATAGTTTCTGATTGTGTTGTGTTCACTATACATTCTGGGTTGTGTTCACTATACATTCTGAAGAAGTCCGCTAGGTTGGTTTTGTCCCTGCCTTCAAGACTTTGAATACTTTCTTCAAGTCCCCAAGTGGTTTTCTCTGTTCAAGGCTGATAATGCTCAGTTCCTTCAGCCTGTCTTCTGTTGGACATTCCCAGACGCAGCAATGTTTTTACTAGTACATTTCGCAATTTTAATATATCCATTGATTTAAATTCTGCACCTTTAATGATACATATAATTAAATTAATTTGCCTTTTTAATAGCTTTATTGCATTTTTCCTCATGTTTTTTTTTCCATAAAGCCTCTTCTAACCTCCTCATTTTGTATAGTTTATATATTTTATCTACCTCCATGCTAAGCTTAACAAAGGCTGCTAGGTGTTTGCCAGGTCTTGAATGTTATCAAAACCTTTTTTCATCTTATTTGCTGTTTCTACAATATTTACTAATACAACAGATGTGTATTTGGGTGGGATGATGTAGTCAAGGATTTATTTTACTTATTCACTACTACAGATGTGTAGTGGTTTATTTCCTCCACATGTCTGTGTTAAATGTATCCATTGTTTAGCTCTTGTTGTTTTCTTTTACAGGTGAAGACAACTGGACCATTTCTGACAAAGATATCGAGGTATTCTGAACATTCTCTTCTCTCTATCAATGTTTGTTTGATTTTAGTCCATCCCAAAGATGATGCTAAATAAAGCATGAAACATAAAAATCACAGCTTTGCCAGGTGAAGGTCTTGCAGGAGGAATTTTAAGGATTTCTGCTTTGTCGATATATTTTCTGAAAGTCATGATAAAATTCTAAAGGTACTCATCCTGAAAGATGCGAAAGGATTTCAGAGTGTTGGTGCAAATATTGTTAACCAGTAAAAGGATTTGCTCTGCTGTTTAATTACCTTTTTTTCTGAGATGACTCTCCAGATTCTTTTCGTTCCCAATGAATAAATTAACTAGCAACAACCCATCCACGCTGCCAGTAGAGAATTGCACGTAGCCCATGTAGGAACACATACTGTACCCACACTAAAGAAGTCAACTAAGCAACTGCCTCTCTCTCTGAAAATGTAAAAATCTACCTTTCCTTTCTTCTTTCAGTCACATTACATGAGTTTGTGATTTAACCTCATATTCTTTTCTGTTTTGGCAACAGTTTAGGGTCAGGGTGAAGAGAAATTGAGTTAGATCTCATTGGTATTAAAAGTCACGTGGCTACCTCTTAACAACAAAAATAATTGCTTAGGTCCGTGGTTCTTTCTTTCAACCCATAAAAGGTTGAATGCGATGTTTGCTTGGTTTGAGCCTTGTACCAATTTCTGTTTCAGAAGTCTCCTTATTTAGGTGTGTTGCACATAATTTAATTGATAGGACCCCTGCAGTAAGAAGCACAAAGGCTCTTTGTGAGAGTGTCTGACGCTGTGTCATTACCACCTTTGTCTGTTCATCATCAGTTCTCAGCTGATCACCTGTCAGTTGTTGCTTAGTCACAAATAAGCGAAGAATGCTGAGGAGAGACAACTTTTATGCTCTCTTTATGCTCAAGCTGTTGGAATAATGCTTGAAATTTTATTTCTATTTTTGCTTGAAATAGGGTATTTTTGAACCTCAGGCCTGAGTACAGGAACAAAGTAAGCAGGAAGTCCAAACAAGGAAGTGAATCAATTAAAGGCATCAGTTTAACACTGCTGATTAATACTGTGACAGCTACCAGTAGAGACAGTGTTCCCACTGGACACCAGGTCTGGGAACTACTGGCTTTGACAGTAATTGTTACTTTGATCCACAGGCCATCACAAACTACAAACCAGGTACAAAATGGTCAGTGTGATTTGGGTGAAAGAAGAAGACTGATAAAATTGAATGCCATCAGAAAAATCCTGTAGATCTCTTTGCTTGTTTTTTTTTTTTACATCGTTTGTCTTTGGTATGCTGCTGTATATTCTGGAGCTCAGTTTTTGGTGGTGGAGAAGCGTTCGATCAAGCCTCCCTCCCCTTGTCCGTACAAAATTGTCCTGCATCGAGCAGAAGTTTGCTTATGGTCTCAAAAAGCAAAAGCACTTTGCCCTCTGTCCAAATGTAAAGCAAGAGAAATGAATGTGAAAAAGATCCACTTCTGTATTTCAGCTGAGGAACATTAGGAAGGAAACTCATTTGCATTCATTTTTCAAGCTCAAAATGAGAAAACATGAAACAAGGATATGGGATAATGTCAGCAAATAGGAATACTAGTAATGAAAGGACTTTAAGCTATTCCTTTGTTATTATTTTATTTATTGAAACTAACACAATAAATAAATAAATAAATAAATAAATAAATACGTACTGTTAATCTCTTTTCTGGGATTTTTGGTGTTTAAATGTGTGCGTGTGATTATTTCATTTTCTCTCTAACCCTTTCCAGGCTCAGATATGCAATAAGAGAGACAGACTACGGAGTGTAAACCGCTACTACAAGCCAAACAAGAACGTGACCTGCCGGAGCTGTGGGAAAAATGGGCATCTGTCCAAAAACTGCCCCACCCCCAAGGTAAACCAGTGTGCTGGAGTGCCCCCCACAGCCCCACACGCCAAGCGGCTGTTCGTCTCTCGCTTTTTCTTGAAATGTGTGGAGAGCAGTGAGTACCAAGCGGCTCACTTTTCTGTGAAGCACCGCATTTTAGGTTTAAACAACTTTAAATTATAAGAATACTATCGTTCTCCCTGTTTTATAAGTCATTACATCTCATCCATAAAGTATGCAGTCATCAGATAAATGTTAAAATAATATATATATATTTTTAATTGACATTACATGTGTGCAAATGCTACTACTGTATGTTTTTGCTTTTAACCCAGTTGTTGTTAGCGCACATTAATTTCAATCGGTGAATTGTGTTCACATTAAAGGGGAGTAATTGAAATGAGAAAAAACAAAAGCACACCATGTAGGAATTCTCAATAGGAGGGTCAGGCCTTGCCTGACGTGGAAAAAATTGGGAGTTTTCTTTTCTTACCTGCAATTAAGGCAAAGGGGTACATTTTTTGTAGACTGGCAAAGCTTGAAAATGAACAAGAAAACCTGAAAATGTTCCGAAAATGAAAAATCGAGTGAGGAAACAGCAAGGGGTCAGAAGAACACATTGTCACCAGGCGCTTTGCAGAGACTGGTAGCAAATTGATATGGAGTTTTATTAGCTTCTGCATTAGAAGAGATAAGAAGAGATGCATAAGGAAAATGTGTAATATCCACACTGAGGTCATATGAAAGGGCTCATGCCTCAGGCTTGAGAGACAGTATTACAGGGTCACAATGACCACGGTGGTTATTTTACACCAGCTAGTTCTCCATAGTGACACCCTCTCGCTCACACTTCACTGAGGACATTTCTTAATTCCCAGTTGTTCTGTTCTGTTGTTGTAATGTAAACCATTTACTTGCTGAACTTCCAAAAAATGGCACCTGTGTTTTCATTTGTATCTGTTGTTATTGTGCCTTTCTGCCTTTGTGTCAGTTATCAGGCACTCCAGTTTCTTTATTTTGGTCAGATTCAGTTGTCTTCCCTCTGTAGGGTAAATGAGTCTTTTAAGTGTTGATGCAGACATAAAATTAGCAAGCTGTCTGGTTCAGGTGTTAATGATGTAATCCTGAATTAAACAAGGGCAACTGCCCAGCCACTCCGTTGTTGTCATTTACTTTATTACTTTTTAATCACAAGCGAATCTCTCTGTAATTGGTTCCAATTCATTAAACAGCCGATATATGAAAATAAAATTAATCTTACTCTATATGGCAAAAATGCTGCTTTGTCTGCTGCTTTACAGGAGATTTAAAAGTCTTACTAATGGTAACTGCATATTCAAAACCAAGAACACTGGCAATAAGTAATGAACAATAATGAAAAGTGTTGCATTGTCCTATATTAGTGAGAAACTCCACAGTTTTGCCTTGCACACCTTTTAAAGTGTCCCCTGTCCTCATGTCATTCTGCTCTGAGTGCAGGTTTTGACCCTTGTTTCTGAGCTCACAATACATATGATTTTTTTTCCCATCATTCAGTCATTCAGGAAATTCTTTGTGTTCAAACGTTGTATTTTATTCTGTTGACAAATTCTTGTGTCATAATGAATGAAGGGGCTCTCTTGAAACTGTGTTAATAATGACGTACTTTAGATTAAAAACAACAAGGCAGAAAATATTATGAGGTTTAAAAAAAATGAAACAGCATGCACAATTCGGAAAGCAGCAGGAATATTGATTTGACAGGCTGCTCTACACAACCCCTGCCGACACAAGACAGGTCTGTGATAAGTGCTCCAAAGTAATGTATTGAGTCTTGATTTAAACAGGATCTACAAATACTTGATTATTTCACTTTATTTCTTCATGACACACGTAGCCTGTGGGTAATGTTTTTCTCCTGGGCCACTGAATAAAGGTCAATTTCACTATTAGCTATGAGATGCAACTTTCGTTTTTTGGGGGGATTTGTATCTGTTCATGTCATAGTTAACTGTTTAGTTTTATTTGTAAGCTATTTTGTTGATTAATTTCAATAGAAACTTTACACTTATAGGTAGCCATAATTATAGTTCCAGTATCTCTCAGTATTTAGATGTGGATCTAAAACACAGGATTTTTTTGAAGTGAGCAAGTCAGCTAGTTTAAGTGGAAGTTGGGCATTTTATGCAGTATTGTATCATTTAAGAAAATGAAGCAAAAAAAGTGGATTTGAAAATGATATGAACTTTAGGTTTTGGTGAGGAGCTGGGTAAAAGGAGCGTTCTCTGTGAGCAGAGGTAGTCCGCAGACCATGTCTGTCATCCTCGCTGTCCTGGGGTTACCTGAGGGAATTGGAGGCATATTTGCTCAGCAGCTCCAGTGACAGCAGGGCCACGGTGATATTAAACGTGCCAAATAATGCTCCTGAGTGCGACAGGTTTTCGAAGTAAGGAAAAGCAAATCCACATAATATCATATAGTCCCTCAGAGGTCCTGCAATCTCATTTGCCATGGCTTCGATAAGGACAGTGCTTAAACACCAAAATCTGCACTTATAGCAATTACGTCAATATAAATAAATGTTGAGATTTATTAATTTGGAAATTCTAAATTATTGTATATATATATTTCATATACCTTTTTCAGATTACTCATTCTGTTGAGGGTTTGTTCCAGAGATAGGATTTTAACATGATATGTCAGTACTGGCAGGTCATGAACGTTCCTCCAGAGTTTCCAGCAGCTGACTCTGATTCTCTGACAGAAGGCTCCAGTCTGCATCCTGTGTGCTGAGCCAGGGCACCTCCAGAGGTCCTGCCCACTGAAGCACTGTGCCAACTGCAACCGGCCCGGGCACGAATCCGAGGAATGCATCGACCGCGCTTTCTGGAATAAACAGTGCCACCGCTGTGGGATGAGGGGACACTTCTTTGATGTGAGTATGACGTCTTCCAGCTGGATACATTATCGTCCATACAGTATGTTATAATGTAACAGACATGTACAGGTCTGTGGGTGGCTTTTTGCAAGCTTCCCTAGGTGATGTTTAGCACAGTAGTACTGTGCACGCGGAGAGCTTTGTCAGCTTTTAAAAATGCTCGCGGCCGGCAGAGGAATCCTACTCCGTTGGGCCCTTGAGCAAGGCCCTTAAACCCAACTACTCCAGGTGCGCTATACAATGGCTGACCCTGCGGTCTGACCCCAAGCTTCTCTCCCTGTCTGTGTCTGTGTCTCATGGAGAGCGAGCTGGGGTATGCGAAAAGACGAATTCCTAATGCAAGAAATTGTATATGGCTAATGAAGTGATCTATCTATCATAGAATTTTGTTTGCTTTTGTAATTCCTTCTCCACTTTTGTCTAGTTGATGTGAATGGTTTAATGGGGTATCAACATAAACGCATAAGTAGTCTCTTTTAGTTCAATGTTTCCTGTTTTGTATTAATAGTTTGTTTTTACTGCCCGCATTCCAAAGCTTGCACTTTACATTAATTGTCATCTGCTGAGTGTTTTTCCACGCTTGAGTTTAGCTAAACCTTTTTGAATGTCATTCCCTGCTTCTGTAGTGTTTAGAACTGTTTTAGGTCCTAGTACAGATCCCTGTGGTACTCTCCTAATTACATCTCCCCAGACTGTGGATTCACCCTTTATCTACACCCTCTGTTTTCTATTTAATAACCAGTTCTCAGTCCAAACACTTGTTTATTTTGTTTTAATTTTAACCCCTTTTCCTCTTGAGTTAGTGAAGGTCAAACACAATACCTACAGGTCTTAGTGCAAATAATATTACTCTTAAAGCCAAGCATTGGGGCTTATTAATTGCTGCCAACCAGAGACCGAATCCAATCACAAGTCCTGGCGAGTCTTTTGCTCTCAGGATCTGGGGTTGTTTTATTCTGTCCAAGTTGATAAATATCTCGCTTTCATCCTTGCTCCACCAAAACATGGGTATGTGACATTTCCAAGTCTTAACGTGTTTGTCTCTCATATCTATACTTACAACTAATCTTACAAGATCTATAACCTTACAACGCGGACTAACTTTCGTACAAGGGGTGAAAAACAGCAAAGTGAAACCACTGTTGAGATTGGCTATTAACTTATTTCCTCTCCCAGCCGAACTGTTCCGCCTGGCGGTTTGCTCCATGTAAGCAGGGAGGCTGTGTTAAATGGAAGACAAGCTTGAAAAACACTAGAGAGAAAGAGCGGTGCGGAGGGGGAGCATGAAAAGAAAAAAAAAAACCAATGAGTCTTGTTTCCTAATTGTAGTCATGGTGCCAGGCTGTAGCTGAAGCATTTTTCTTCTGTTTATTTTTTTATTATTTATTTTCTCTCTCTCTCTCTCCTCGAAACGTGGAGGTGCACCAGCAGGGTCCCAGGTCCCCTGAGCTGCCGTTCCTTTCTCATTAAGATTTGCCGCTAGCAGTGGCGAGTATGTGACGCGCATTCTGTTATTGTACGCTCGGCTTGTCAGCCCAGTGCTTCCTGACACTCACTTATGTCACTCTTTATTCAGAGGAGGGAGAAGCTTTTGATAATTTGACAAGACAAGCTCTTAAACGATCTAGGTCGTGGCCTTCGCTGTCTGCGATTGTGAACATATTTCCTGAAAGCTCTGTCACTCATCACGGCAACAATTTCTCCCAAGGAGTGCTCCCCCTCTCTCTCTCTCTCTCTCAGTCACTCTCTTCCTCTCTCTCTCTCCCTCCCTCCAGCTCTAGCGTTTCTTCCTGCTATCTGCTCGGTTATTCCTCTAAACCGTCTCAGCTTCCCCCTCCTCCTCTCTTTTCCTCGATTTCTCTTTTTTTTTTAACACCTACTTTTTTCACCCCTCTAAATGCTAACATGTTAGGGAGGCTAATCCTGATCTGACATTGTGTTCGCAGCAGGGTCCACTACAAAGACTTGCTCTGGTACAAGACAGCCAACTGGCCCGGGGAGGCCTGGGACGGAAGGAGAGGGTGCTTAGCCCTGCTGTTTTTGTGAGGGGGCATTGTTGTGGAAATGGGAGAAACGGTTAGCGTTGACCCCCCCTTAGTTTTGTTTTGCTTGAGTATTGACTGCTGCCCTGGGGGGCCTTTTTTTTTTTTCCCTCCTCCCTTGCCTCATTCTTCTGGCTTTTCTTTCTTCTACGTCGAGTTTGTGCTGGAGCCTTTTGCCCTTCTCCCATTTCGCAATCTTTTCTTTGAACGTGAAAGTGTTCACTGGATGAGCGGAAAGCTTAGCTCTTTGTTCCGGTTTTAAATAAATTCATTTCTTCCCTTGTCTACCGGACCCATATTGATCTCGACTCAAACTGCCCCCCTCCGTTCCAGTATTTTGTGAGCGCACGGCGGGGGGCTGAAACGATAGTTAGGAATTAGCGGTCTCCACTTACGAGTTCAAGTTTAAAGGTGGGCATTTTTCAGATGGGGGTGAAACTGCCTTTTTCCCCCTATGAGCATTCTTTGAATTCCCTACAGAGACGCTGACCTGGCATTGTGCACTGTGCCTCACAAGAACGTTGTCTCCCAGTAATTGAATTCCTGCCTGGCACCAGCATTTAGGATTGAGATGAATTGTGCTAGAGCGCAATGTGGATGCATCTTATTTTCTCATTTTATATAAGAAATTATGTAAATCTGTTTAAGAAATAAAGCATTAACTTGCTCTAAAAATGCCTTTAACATATTTCAAAAATCACCTCTTAATACTGTAGTACAGAGATGCTGTGCTAATATGAAAATCGAATGTAAAGTTGTTTGTTCTTCTTAAACGACACAAGTTTAATCCTCCGTGGTATTTTTCATTTCAATGGGTCTCGGGGAGAAGAAACTCCTTTTTTTTCCCTACTTTTTGGACAGTAAAGATAATTAAGATAGTCTAGAGAATTTCGATTTAGTTACCGGCAAACCAGAAAATGTGTTTTGAGTGCATCGTGTATCACAACAGACAGAGTGGTACACAGAAACTGTGAGTGCCTGCCGTGATAAATAATATATGACCCACATGATTGTTGAAAAAGAACCTTTTGTAGAGGTTCTAATTTGGGGAAAAAATTAAAAGGTCTTGCAGAAGAAACAAGCTCTATGAACAAGTAGCTCTCCTAATTCGGAAAGGATTTGAGAAGGTGACATTACACTTGCCCTTGGTCAGCACCTCCATTGCCAAAAAAAAATCCAGGTGGTAGCAAATTGCCCGTTCTCATAAGTGTTTGAACATTGTTAAGAATGGCCTGCCTGAACAGTGCGAAATTGCCTTTTTTCTTTCCTTCTTTGTGCTCTGAAAATAAAAATGTCATCCAGTGTGAATGATTGTGAGAGCAGAATTCATAGTTTATGTCTACTACTTCATTACATTTCTGAAACTAATTGAAAACAGTTTATTTTACTATTGAAATGAATATTTTCCTTTTGGGTTTTTTTGTCATCCGCATTTTAAATTGCGGCCCCCTTGAAGCTTATAAATGTCCCCTGTGTTCTTGTGCTAAGATTATGCAGAATTTACAAAATTTTGAGACATTTTTGCCTCAGAGTGTCAAGCACCATTTTTCATGGATGGAAAAATAAAATATCAGCCTGTGATGACATTTCAGAATTTTAATTTTGCGGTTCACGGACGCATTCAGTTTATTATGACTGTAACAATGAAAAGAAAAACATTTAGGGTGTTTTTTGGTATTTAAACTGATGAATTTATACATATTTTCAGTGATAATATGTCTGTGTAACAAAGTCGAGCCAGGATTTAAAAATCCAAATATTTGTGGTTGCAATTTTCTTCATGACAGCGCATTATGATTCGATATTCGATAACACCGTGCTGGTTCTGTAAGTGAGAACACTGTGAAAGAAGTTTGTTCTTTCTTCTGAGTCTGGCTTCTAAGGCATTCTGCACACTGTGGAAATGCGTGGCTGGCCTGAAATACAAGTTTAAAAGCGAATGAGAGAATGCAGTTTTAAAATAATATGTACATTTTTAGTATCTTGTTAGACTTGTTTGAAGGGACAGTGTCCATGAAGTGAAAGTATAAGTAACCGAACAAGGGGAAAGGATGAGATTTTAAAAATGAGGGTGTCTAGACCTTAGCATTCAAATAATTGTAATTGTTTTGTGTACAGTTTAAGTATAGAATGCCTAAAAAGGCATATTATTATGGTCAAAGGAATGCCAATACTATATCTTAAACTGAGAATTACTACAGTTATTCTTCTTGCTAATTAAAAAAAAATATTTTAATTGTTTTATTAGTTGCCTACCTGTCCACAAAGAAGGGAAAAAGTAAGTGCACGCTTCAAAATGACCAACATGTCATGATTATTCAACTAAAACTAGAACCATGCTTTATACATGAGCATTTCCCCCTCTCTCTCTTATATTCCTTTAAACTGCTGATAGCAACAGTTATCACACTATCAACAGCACAGCTGGTGTTTGAAAACAAATTATTTGGGTATTTTTTACATTCAATATCATCTGTTTTGTGAGCAGTTTTAAAAATCTGTTAGTTTCCTCTGCTCTGTAAGTATACAAAGTTGTATTAATAATAAGAACTGTGCATTTTTGTTCTGTGCAAAATTATTTCACGGAATATATTAAATCTATATATAATATTACATTATATTATATATATCTAATATATTTGCTTAATGTTAATGGTTCTATTTTTAGGATAGTGGAATAAACGTGTTCTTTAATTAAAGTGTTGAAAATCACTGCTACGTATTAGTGCCTTTTGCTTTAAATATTAGTTATAGAAGGACAATGTGTACTTTATATATTTATATTTAATTGGTTGTGGTTTTATTTATTTTAATAATAGTACCTTTATGTGACTCATTATATCCTTAGAAATAATTTATGTGAACACTTAAATCATGCCCTGAAGGGTTACAAATTTCCTGTAGAATTAGGAAAAATGTGACTTCTGACACTGAATAAAAGCCTTATTTTGCCTAGTTCCTGGCTATTTTATAGATTTGTATCATTGTTGTCTTTGAAGTAATTGTAGGCATTGTTACAAAGGATTAGGGTCTCGTTCTTTTTTATCTGTATTGCTGTTAGGTTTGATGACTAAAACCAGAACACCCAGGGCGCTTCAATTTTACAAGGCTGTGTTCCTGGAAGGAAGACCTGATGGAATAAAAAAAAAAAAAAAACCCAGAACCAATGTATTTGCAACACTGTGACAGTCATTTTCGGGGACTGCGAGAAGCCAATCTCAGTGATCTCCCAGCCTGCAGTCAGAAAGTATATTCTATTATGGGCGCTCCGGTTTTGCACAGCAATGTCTGGCCAGCGTGTGCCACAATAGGACACAGCTGATATTAACATCCTGAATTAATGTTTTGCTGAACACCGCTTTCCCTTCTTCTTTTGTTAAATGTCTCAGATAAATTGCTCAGGCTGAAGACCCGCTGAATCGGCTCTTCCTCTTTTTGGGGGATCTTTTTATTTAAAAAAAAGAATTTAGTTAATTCTGACGTTACAGAAACTAAATTCAGGACTGGCCTTGCGAGCCCGAAACACTTCTGAATTCCCTGTGTCTTATTCTCATGTACTGCACTCCTCCGCATGATGAGATGCAAAATGTTCATCTAAGAATTAGATATTTAAAAAAAAAATCAATATCTCTGGACGACATTGTAGAGATTATGGAAGAGATATTCGATGCCGTGATTCATCTCCTAAGAATCGGTGTTGTCAATAATACTGCTGAGCTGATATTCTCCCAATTTTACGGCACTGCTCTACACTCCAAGCACTAGTTGTTGTTTTTTTTGCCAATTAAGAAAATCACGTCTGTTTGTGTTTCCTCACTGTCCTTTGCCTGTAAAAATTAAAGGGAAAAAAGCCATTTCCGCAACGTGGAGGTGAAGAGTATCAGGTCCAGTAAGCTTTACCTAATTATTTGCTCCTTCTGGTACTTCTAGAGAACGTTTCATTAAAAGAGGTTCAGATGCCTTTAGTCCCCTTTCACACACACACACACATTCTCGCATTCTTTTTTGTTCTTCTTGCCTTCCCCTTGGTAGCCTGGACACTGGGCCTTTCATGTTGCTGGTTATCCTATTAAACAGTCCACAAAAGTGGCAGGCTTACTGGTGTGGTCCCTGCCACTGCCCGCGAGTGTGTTAAAACACTGGAAAATTCAATTAAACCGGCTGCGTCGTGCTCTCGCAGTGTGTGGAAAGAGTGTAACAGCAGGCCTCCTCTCTGCGGCGCGTATTGCTGAGTTGGAGACATGAGTGGATGTTTTGTTATACCAAAACCAACAGCCTGGAAAGCATCTTGTTTCACGCTCTCATCCGGTCAGTATTTTGATTTGTTGTTTTTTTTTCTTCTTTTTCCTTCTCTCCCCCCCCCCCCTCAGGATTGTCCAGAGATATGGAGACAGTATCACCTCACAGTAAGTGTCACACGCTCGTATCTGTATGACAACATTACTGAAATAAAAATGAATGACCATGAAAAATGCCATTTACGTTAGATACCATAATGTTATTTTCCTTGAAGAGATAGGACAAGACTAGGTCTTCATTTATAATATCGTTAGAACTAAATATGGTAATGATATTTTTCCAGGAGAATTTGACATGCTTTCTTAAAACCCAACTCTTAGAAGTTTTTTTTACAAATCTTAGTCTATTCTAACAAATTTTCTTTGGCAAAAGTTTAGCCTTTGTAATGCCATGCATATAAAAATAAAGATCAAAATGTTGCCTATAGCTCCTTTTAACGTTCTTCTTTTAAAGGCCTTGAAGAGCCTGTGGTGTAGACGAGTAGGCTAAATATTAATGGGACATTAATACCTTAATGGGACAGGAAAATAACACTTAAATGTGGTTGCTTCCAGGATTCAATGTACAAAAGGCCTATTTGGATAGAACTATAATTGTAAAGTGTGCGGATAGGTGGTGTCTGAGAAACATGAACAAATTGCAGTGATTTTCAGTGATAGGGCATACCACAGAACAGATGAATTCTGGGATGCCATACAATAAGTGGAAACTTCAACTAGTTCAAACAGTAACATTATTTGTATTTATCTGTGTGTCTGTTGGTGAAATGTCACCCTAAAACATTAATAACTAATTTATTAGGTGTAATATTTCTTGTTAAACTACTTTATTTGACAAATATCTCTTCTACGGTTATTGAAAATGCATTCATTCTCACATAGGATTTTTATCTAATCTACTATACTAATTTAAGAAACAGAAGCTCATTCATAAACTTATTGTCTGTTTTACCACGGCAGTAAAGTCTGTCACCATCTTTTATTATTTGGAAACAGGCTTTACTGACAAGGTAGTTACCACCACAGAATGCAGTATGTCAAAATGCCCCTGGTTCTCCATTTGCATATGCTTAAAGTGAATCTGAAATACGGTTTGATTACTCTAAATGGCTTTTTCCATGAAAAGCACGACACATTCAAGTGCTAGGGGTACCAGCAGAGGAAACATCTAATGTTGTTTTGTCCATTTTCGTGTTTGATTCGTCAGGGTCTTGTGTTGTTTGTGTCAGTATCATTTCCGAGAGTGACGTACTGCAGACACAAATAAACTTGTCTAATGTTACTGTTGGAGAAAAGGCAACAGTGTGGTGCAGTGGTCAGTGTCTTAGACTCATGACTAGAAGGTTGTGGGTTCACGTCCAAGGTGAGACTCTGTGGTTGTACCTTTGAGCAAGCTACTTCACCCAGTGAAATACCCAGCTGTATAAACACGTGCAAATATAAGTCATTGTGTATAAAAGCATCGGCAAAATGAATGCCTTTAAAGTGCAAAATGGTTGCTTCTCTTTTCCTGATTCACCCTGACACAAGACAAAGGCTTCAGCTCAATAGAATAAAAAAACTTTAAATATTTGTAAGGAGCTATACAGAGGAAAAATTGTACAGCTCCTGTGCTTGAAAAATTGCCACTGTTTCCTTGCTACTACACTGTTACAGAAAACTGTGAGATTACGTTTTGGGGTAAATCTGCTGTCAGTGTTTATGTTTGAGTTTACTGATAGTGTTGACTGCTGCATCTGTTGTTTATTTGGCAATTTTCATATTATAATTCCTTTCGGTCCACTGTCTGTTTTAACACTTGAGAATACCACCTTTGATTACCTTTCGTAACATATTTTGTTTATGTTAAATAAATGTTAAGGACATTTCTTATTTTTTGTAACCTATTACCTGTTTTGTGATCTGGTTTATATTTCGTTTCCAGTTCAGTCACACGGGTTGTCTTTGAAGTATACCCAGTCCCGATCCCTGTGTGACTCTTGACAGACTCTTGGCATTTTAAAACTGTTTTCCTTTCTGTTCTGATCATTTTTTTGTGCTTTGGTTTTGGGAGTCTGCCACAAACTACCCTGTCACATTGTCAAAGCTGGTAACGTGACCGCTTTCAATAAACAGTTAGAAGAGATGGATCTATGGATCAGTTAGCTACTAGCAGCTATGTTCTGAATGAACATAATATGAAACTTTCCTTTTTACAAAACACCAGAAAAGTTGTCGTGTGGTTCAAAAGAGCACCAATTACACCTTTTCAGTCCATCTAGCCCCTTTGGTTGGTGGAGTAGCTCATTATTCCAAGGATCTCATCCAGCTGTTTCTTGAAGGAAGTCAGAGTGTCGACTTCAAGAAGATGGTGGGGCAGCTTGTTCCCCACTCCCACAACTGTTTGTGTAAAGAAGTGCCTCCTATTCTGATTTTTGAATGCACTCCCACACCGTTTCCACTTCCTTCCTCTGGTTCATGTTTCACCATTGAATCCGGAGAATAACCGCGTAAGTGAAGAGCCCTCCTACATCTATGTTGTGAAGCATTTGTGCTCAGGGTGGACAGTGCATTACCCATAATGTGCTTCTGGGTACGTTGCTTATTATTTGTCACTTATTACTGGATAGGTAAATTCCTGGGTGCAAATATAGGCTCTCTTTCCCTTCCTGTCATTAATTTGAAATCCACACGCCATCACCGCAGTGTACTTTACAATCATCTCTGCCGTCAGACTAGGGCACTTATACTGTAGGTGCATCGTGATTTCTACTAGCCACTCGCCTGTCATCAGCTGTCACATGGTTGTTTTATGAATAGATTAAAAAATCCATCCCAGTGTTTTATTGGGATTTTATGGATCTACTGTTTATTTTTATGAATTGCCTCATGTACAGTCCATATACAGAGCATTGCATATTCAGATTTATTTATACCCATTATGAAATAGGAACAAAAAAGACCTTTGACCTTAATGATGATGCATGCTACCCCTGAGTGTCTTCCATGCGTTACCTCCTTTTATACCCCAGGGAAACAGAAAGCCTTTCGAGGCCACTATATAATTACGGAGACTATTATTGCATGTCTAAAGAACATAATGTTATTGTAGATTTGTTTCTGTTGGAATTTATTTAAATGCATACTTAAAAGGTGAGACCCACATGTTTCCTGCACTTAAAGCATTTACGACAACAGTGAGAACAGCGTTATGGCCGTACTGTTGGTGTGTTTTCTCTTATAATACACATATAGTGCAGAGTGGAGAGCTGCATCAGCATGCTATCTAGAAAGAAACTGACCTAAAAAAAGGATTCACAATTGAAATATTTAATTTTTTGCTGTCCTGCTTGGAAGTATCCTCTGCATGTTCCTATATGCATTATATTTAAGGTATACCTATAATATAGAATGCATATGAATAGTAAGTATGAAAAAGTAGCAAGACTTTTTTTCATTCCGGTATCCATTTTACACCTTGCGCTGAAAGAAATATTAAAGGAATGTATCCATGTCTTAGATACAGACAACACTGGAGCAATGTTGACACCTCTCAGTTCGTCAGGTTGCATGATGACAATCACCTCTATGCGCATTTCCAGCATCTTGAGCTGTGGGTATGCCTTGCAACACCTGATTGCTTCAATTTTGTACAATTTAGCTTCAGTAAAACACGTTTCTGGCTTACGACAGTGCAGTTTGATCTTGGGGCACCGAGGCTAACTAAAGGGACCGCTAACCAAGTAAATCCGCCATCGAGAAATACAGCTGGATTGCGAACCCAACAAACAGAGATAATGAAATAAAAGTTAGTTTGTGTAACAATGCTATTTTCGAATTCTTGCCCTGCAACCCTGCATCCCAGTAAGTGATTTAATTTACATTATTAGTTGAGATTTAATTTGTGAGAGAAAGGGCTACCTGCCTCCCTGTGGCTCAGCTTTTGTCTCCCTGCTAATAAATGCTCTTTTCCGACGGCGCTTTGCGGCACCGCTGCAAGCAGGAGGGTATTTGTGACTCTTTGCCAGGAGATTAGTCCCAGAATCTCGCCTTCCTGGTTGTACAAAGCTTATTTTAATAAACAGGGAATCCGGCTCTGTAATATCTCAGGCTGGGCGCTTTTTTTCCCCTGGTCTGTATTCCACACTACTTGTGTTAAAATTGGGCAGCCAAGCAGAAAAACAGTGAAACAGATCTTCTGAATGAGAGGCCTGCCTGCAGCATTTTGTTTAGTGACGCCCAAGCTGGTCTTCCTTGTGTATTTGTGCATTGTGTACACTTGTGTGTATCTTTGCATTGTTTAACAGTCTTTAACAGACTGTGCACATTTTTTGTTTGACCGCTGCTCATAAGTGTTCTTGATTTAATGACCAAAATGAAATTTTGAAAATCGTTAAATTGGAATATCACATTTGAATGTTTTACTTCCTCACAAGTACACTTGTTTATGCTGTGCAGTGTATTTAAAACAACTTCCTAGTGTATAACATCCTTCTGAGTGTAGTATCTTGTCCTCTTTTTTTCTGGGACAGTGTCAGTTTTGATGCTGTTTAAATTGAGGAGGGACTGTGATGTTGTCTATTCTTGGTTCAGTAGAGAACCCATGAAAAAATGTAAAATATTAATGGTTATTTGTCAGTTTTCTCACCTGTGTTCATGCCCATGTCTGTGGTGTAAGATACTAACTGCTCAAGGTGTGGATTTTTTATTACTAAAATCAAGATACGTACAGTATGAGAGGCATGAGTTCACTTAGAATGCATCAGCTCTGGTCAAGCCTTATATCAGCAATACAATACTGTAGTGGCAAACTTAGAATAGCATAGTTCACAAGGCTGCACTATATGAAGCCTAGAGCATTTAAGAAATGAAATAAAGTGTAAATAGCTTTTTTTTTTCTTTGAAGAATCAGTTGCTGAGCACTTTGATCAGATTGGCACCAATAGAATTCTATCAGCCTATGCGTTTTTTTTACCTCTAGGTCACATACAGTAAACACACTATCCACAGAGCATGCAAAGCTCAGACATGTTCAAAAAACATTAGCCGAACTCTGGCTGTGGGAGCCAGGTCATTTACAGTATGCAGAGATAGCGGGTTGTCTCTCCAGGCCATTTCTGTATCACATA